TTGGAGCTGCATAATTGATAAACACACTTCCACTTCTCAGTGGCATGAGCTGCTATGAGCTGCCTGTGAGTTAGATCGGGGACAATGTTACAGAAAGGGCACTTGATGAAGACTGGGAATTGGAGGATCAGCCCCAACCACACCACTAGCATGCTGGGAGACAGAATAAGTTGCTTCTGTACTTCTGCTTTCCGATCTGCAAATCAGAGATAATATCGTCCACTTTTAATGCAAGATCTGTTGCATAAGAGATATTGTAAGCATGCCTATCATTTTGCCAGTTCAGTTGGTTTCTTGAAATAGCTTGTGTTACATGAGAGAAAATTAAGAAGAGAAAGTAGCACCAGACAGAAATTACTGTAAATAAGTTTACTTGAAGGTGTAATGAAGAAGGGAAAGTACTCACGTAAGCACAGAATGGATAAAACAGTGATTAAAGCAGTAAAGCAAAATGTGCACACCTAAGTGTTCAATAGACCATAAACAATGTAGAAGAAACACATGGCAGAAACAGAGTTATTAAGACACTAAAAAAGCAGCACATAGGGTCAGGAAAGCATACAGCCAGAAAATTTGTGCCTTGACATACATACATGCACGCATACTCACAGTCATGCAGAAAGAGAAAGAAAAATACCTAACAGCGTTTAGGTTGGAAAGAAACTTCAGGAGTCAGATTCTGTTGATGGTACTTCACTGCTTCACCCATCCAATACAGTGCAATTCACAAATGAATTAGGGCTGTGGAGAGGGAAAATTAAGACTGATTCTAGCTTGCACATATAAAGGGTACTGCTTGTTCTAACATCCACTGCAGTATGTAATTATAAATACATATAATTAGTTAACATAGATATCACAAAATGACCCCAATGCTGCTTTCTGCATGACTGGGCTATGCAACCAAAATAAGCAATGTAAACCAGAAATTAATGACCCTGAGGATTCAGAAGCTATTCTAAGAGATTTTGAGACATAAGGAAAAAGCAGTTACGGATTTGGCTAATTATTCTAGAAGACCAAATTACTGCTGTTTGTATCGAACAAGGCGTTCGAGAAGTCACAAAGTGTTTTTTCTCCCAGATGTGTATCTCAGTTGACTGTCAACTGTAACTGCATCCTTCCTTGTGGTAAAGGCTTTTCTAAAGACTCTTCTCAAACTGAATTCTCCAACAACCAGAAAATCCTAAACTAACTTTACAGCCTTCTCTCCAGTGGGGGCACTGAGTGTCCATCTCACCTTCACTGCTACTCAGGTGACCTCTAAGAAAGCTGTTCGACATGATTATCTTTTGTTCCTCTGTTCATATTATTTGTTCAAAAGCTATTTGAGTGAGCAGAAAGGAACAGGAGGATGATGATGGAGATGCAGAGAAATGGGAAGTAAACTGCACAAACTTAATTCCTTTGGAACAAAATATTGTCCCCATATGTTCATGTGATCTCAAAAACGTCCTTAACATAGAACTTCCGTAGAAGTGATTGACAGATCAGATTAGAAATTTTAGCTATCCAGTATAGCAGATAAATCATCGCTTATTCTCTAACCAGTGGAGGAACATATGTTTCAAATACCTCAGCTCCTCAAAGTTGAATTTGATTCAGATAAACTGTGTCACAGGATTGTAGATCCATGTGCTGTGGTTTGAACCCAGAGGGCAACTGAGCACCATGCAGCCATTCACTCCCCCCCAGTGCTGGGAAGGAGAAAAACGAATCAAAAAGCTCAGGAATCAAGATAAGGGTAGGGAGAGGTCGCTCAGCCATTTAACAGTCACAGGCAAAAGTCAGGCTTTTTAGGGGAAGAAAAGGATATCACTTTAATTCAAAACACTAACTACAACACCACAACAGACAGAATGGGACAGGACTGACTTAAAAACACCTCCTCCTATCCCTCCCTTCTTCCTAGGCTCAGTTTTGTTCCCGATATCTGTACCTCCTCCCCGCAGTGGCACAGGGGCAGGGGATGAGGGGTGCAGTCAGCCTGCAGCTTCTTCCTTCTTCTGTGGCCCTCGGCATTCTTCTCCCTGCTCCACGTGGCGCCCCTCTCACGGGAGACAGTCCTCCACTAACTCTCCCCGCTGTGAGTCCTCCCCACAGGATGCATTCTTCTCGAGATGCTCCGGCGTAGGTCACCTCCACGTGTTGCAGTCCTCCCAGTGCCGAACTACAACAGCCAGGGCTGCTTCTCCCCTCAGAGTCACGGGGATCCTCCCCAGGCCGCAGGCAAATCTCCGCTCCCCTGGTGACTTCCCTGTGAGGCAGGGGGGTGGCTCTGCCCCCTCACCACAGGATACAGGGGGTCTCTGCTCTGGCGCATCTCCTCCCTTCCCCTCCTTTCTTCCACTGACCTCGGTGTTCACATAGGTGACCTTCTCATAACTCCTCACAAGTCACCACTTTCTCTCAGGTTCCCCTTCCTAAATACGTTATCGCAGAGGCACAGCCACCGTCGCTGGTTGGCTGGGCCTTGGCCAGAGGTGGGTCTGACATGGAGCTGGGGGAGCTTCGAGAAGCTTCTCAAAGGGGGCCACAGCTGTAACCCCCTCCCTCTCTACCAAAAAAACCCATCACACAAGCCCAGCACACCACGGTATGCACTGAATGTAATTAATTTCCTAGCTTAACATATTGCTACCCAGAAAGAGCAAGCAAACACAGCATGACTGTGAAATATTTTTTTTTTTTTTTTAAATCATGGGGAAACATATTTGTAGTGTCGCTTTGTCAGATTCCTCTTTGACAAGTGCTCTGGATAAGCCAGAGAGTGGGTAAAAATCAAAGCTGTTGTTGTTGGGACACCAAGCATCAAGCTAAACACTGCATTATCAGGACATCCAGAAGAATTGCCAGGCCTCCTACTAACGAATTATACCTAATGCTTCTGAACAAAAGGCAAAGTGGAATCCAAACTAGTAATTTATACAGTTGTGATACAGTTTTGGGGTCTGTTTGCTTATGTTTCACATATTATTTGCCTAAGTTGAATCAATGACTTCTTGAAACTCCTTATGTCAGAAAATGCAGAAGACCAGAAATAGAAATGTACACTTCAGCTAGCGTGTGTGAATCAGCTGATAGCTGTCTTACTATGTTTTATGGAACAGACACTGCAAGCAAGAAGCAGCTAGGATTTAACGAACATGGTAGCTTTAGAAAACATATCTGTTACTTCTTGCACCTCTGAAAAACTCAGGTTGTACTTAAAGGACATCTTGCATGTAAGAGCGTGAAAACATAACTGAACTAAAATCTTAGGTTTAGTGGATTGCCATGAACTCTGCACAATTACTGTAATTACGTTCTGGCTTGTACTTTACAAAATATCATCAAGGATTATAATACAGTAGCCTTTAGCCAAATTAACAGGGCTTTACCTAGGAGAGTGATCAAAGAATTCCAAGTTTTACAAATAGGCTACTTACTGTTGAAACACATCTGTAGCTGTCATGTTCCTGTTGCTCTTATTTTAACCACACATTGTTTATTCATTATAAACCCCTTTCTGATACCTTGGAAAAAAACCCTCTGTAGCAATAGCTGGGATTTGATAATGAACTGAATCCAGGAAACGCTCAAGTTCTCCTTCATTCTAAGGGTGATTCTGTTCAGAAGGAAGCATCTTATTTGCCAAAGTCAAAACAAATCCTAGGCGTAGGTGGATCATCTGTTCTGACAGCACTCTTTATCATTCGTGTCCTAGATGGCAAGACACCCCTCTGTGCTCTTGTGATGATAAATTATAGGGGGAAAAAAATAAACTATTATATTAAGAGTTTCCTCGCTCACAGCCAGACAGATAAGAGCAGTGTATGGACAAACCCTCCCATCTCTGTCTATACTGATGGGGAAAAAAATCTGATGAACCACAGTATGTACTGAGGGGCGGCAAGAAGAGACACAATTGCAGATGGGCATTGTGCAACAGCACTCTGAATGTCCCATGGATATATATTCCCTTTAGAAGATCAAGACACTTGAAATAGCTTAAGCAAAAACTGGTTAATTATTTATCAGCTTGGAGTGAGGAGAGAAGAAAGAGGGAGTAGTACTGACATTTCCATCTCTCGCTGCTTTTTTGGAGTACAGGCATCTCAGGAAGTCAGGCCACTTTCCTATCCTGCTACAATGAAATGGAAAAAGATGAGGTTTATACATCTCCTTCCATCTTGTGCTGTTGTTTTCATTTTCTTACATTACTATTGCCCTCACTGTTGGTAAGAGGATGCAGCAGCTGTTTCCTCTCAATTCCTTTTGCCCTTAGGTACAGAGCAGAAGAGCGAGCTCAGCCCTTACTGTTCCATGGGGAGGAAAGGGCAGCATTCCCAAGAGCACATCTGCCATCAACTCATCATGCTGGAAATCCCCAAGGAATTTAGCTTCACATCTCAGAGAGATGAAAAAGAGGGCCTCTGAAACCAAACTGTGGGAGGGGAGGGGGAACATTGCCTCCTTTGCCTTTCCAATGAAATGAGCAGCTGACAACTCCATATGGCTCCTTTTAAGTTGCGTGCAGTGCTTGCTCTGCAAAGGTTCCCTTTGATTCCAGGGGAACCTTTTGCAGAAGGAGATATTGCGTACCATATGTAATGTTGGCAGGGTAAGATTACCTCCCCCATCTCACCTTTGGGAGGGGAGAGAAAGGAGATGAACATCAAGGCTCAGTGTGCCAAGACTTGAAAATATATTTACATGCTGAAGTGGGACTCTTGCTTTGAACACCAGCCACAACAGCTCTTCTGCACTTTGGGTAGTTCATTAACAGAAATCAATACAAGCTGCCTTTTAAGAAAGCCGGGGCTTGTTCATTGACACACCGTGTAATTCCTTTCTGCAGAAGCATCAATTCTTAAAGGGTATGCAGTAAATTATGGCAAACCCACAGAATGGCAAGGCTACAGAAAACATTGTTTCATTTCAGTGCAAACTTAAAGCATAAACCATTGAGAAGAAGCATAATTACTAAGAACCAGAGACAAAAGATGTGTCACCTTTACCTGGAGGCCCTTCTTCTCTATCTTTTTCTGGAGTATCTGAAGGCACTTGGTGAAATCTGTGAGGTCCTGATCCATGGTCTCAATTAACTCACATCCCTAGTGAAGAAGCAGCAAAATGGAGAGAAAAAAAAATAACGTCACTCATCTTTCAATTTCGAGAACTACAGCTGTCTTTGGTGAAATTAACAGCAGTCAGCAACTCTCAAAGCCTCCGCATGGAGATGCAGAATTCAGTAAAAGACTATTACCCTTACAGAGCCCAAAGACTGTAGGTCCCAGCTGAACAAATTATTATGAAACAGCAGTTTGATAGGCACAGGAGGAAATATTCAAAACCCATTGAGTATATTTGTGAGTTTGGATGAGCATGTTCTGTGATGATCTGGCGGATGGACGAGTTCCAGTGCAGTGAGCCCTGGGTGATCAGTAACTTCCAGGGTCAGGTTCCAGGAAAATGACTGTCGTCTCTGGTGCTACAGTTATGATGTTTCTGTTACATATATTGAAGTGTGTATAAATGCAAGCATACAAAAGTATTCAAGCTTCCAGGAACCAGTGCAGTTGTACTAGTTAACGTGCAGTGATAGAACAATTTCCTTGCAGTGGGGTAATATGGATGAGAGCATGTTAGAATGGAGAAGAGCAGGAGTTCAGATTTCTTAATTGAGAGGTAAAGCAATTCCTAAGCCTCTGATAAAAAGCTGAGTAAGGAAAAGTGGAGTATATCTACCACATAAAGTCACTATTCAAAGAGGTTTCAAGGATACAAAATACCCAATACAGCATCATAAATTAAAATAAGAACCATACACACTGGATTTAGAGGTTCTCTCTCCTACTACTTCAAGGTCCCCTTAAAAGCCTCCTAGCTTTGTCTTTATCTGACAGATTTTATGTTTCTGCTATTCACAATAACAACTGATAAGAGAAAACCATTCAGACTACCGAATCTTTGTGTCTGTGCCTGTGTGTATGAAGTACATGATTTTGCTACATCAGAAGAAAAAACAAAACAGAATGTTAAAGCTGCCTCTACCTTAGTGGTAAGGTACAGAAGACAGAATTTCCCAGATCAGCGTATGGATGGAATTTAGTGGATTGCATGCAACAAAATAACGAGCCTCCAATAGGAAGACATATGCTATCACTGAAATGCTTCCCCGCACAGCCGGAATGCACATAAAGCAAACAAAAGCAGCATGCAGTAGGGGATTTGGATGAAGTGGAAAAGAGATAAGGGAGGAGATAACGGCATGCTTTTTATTATGCCTCTTCCTTTCCCTCCATAAAAGGAAAGCTGGTCAAAGGCAGTAGCCTTTCTGATCCTGACATTGCTCTAAATACCTTTTCAAGGAGTAATAACAGGCCTGCCGAGGCGAAGCATCATATAGCTGCAACAGCACATGTAATCAAAGGCCTCTCCTGCAGAAGCGATGCTGCTGCCACCACAAAGAGACTAGGGGAAATACAGCTGGAGCCTGGACTCGGTGCTAAGTGTCAAACAATTTGAAGAGCTGCCATGTCTCCACTCTTCACCAGGAAAGGCTGAAACGTAACATTGGCAGAGGGTGAAGTGACACAAGCCATCTGGAGTCTGTAATGAACCCGTGAGTTGTGCAGTGCCAGCCAGAGACACCAAGGGAGCCCAAGAAAGGTATAGGGATGTTCAGGCCCACCCAGAAAGCTCACAGCTGGATCTGAAAACTACTGATGGGAATTTGTTAATCAAAGCCACTCTAAATGGAAAGACGTCTCATTCACTAAGAACAGGGTGCTCCCAGACAGTCTCATTATCGGCATTGATAATGGCAAGAGAGACCAAGCTGTGAGAAACTGTGAACAGACAGAATATCCCCAGTCTTTCACAATCAGCTTTTGAACAGCACGAGAACGTGACAGATAAAGGCTAAATCAACGGCAGGGACAGCTACTGCTGGGCATGGGAGAAGAGACGGAAGCTGAGTTACCTGCTCTTAAATTAAGAGTAGAGAAGGAAGGTCTTTTATCTTTTGCCAGGGCCATTCCTTGGTTTCAGAGTGCTGGCAGAAGTAAGTAGTTTATAGGTACTAATTTATAAATAAAAGATTTAACCCCCACTCTCCCCCAGCACTTTGAAATACTCCTTCTTGCAGTCACTAACAAAACTGATCACCTTGGGCAGTCAGGTTTTGGCAGCTGCAGGTAGGCTGCAAGGGAAGACAAAATTATCGTGTTTTGGGTTTTGTTTGTTTGTTTGTTTGTTTGTTTGTTTTTTTAAGTGATGATCTATGACAGCTTAAGTCATTCTATTATTATTTTATGCTTTCTACTATTAAAAACATTTCACTTGAGGTTAGTTCTCGCCTAACTTCTCTGGATGTTCTTTGATAAGAAAAGTATTTCAGAGCAACTACAAGGTACTACCAAGGCAAGATAATGCCAGCATGGTTTCTGGAGAGCACTGTAGGTCACTTACTGCAGCTCCAGAAGAAAGCAGAGATGCACCACATATAGACATCCTATGTTCAGACCCGCTACTGCCGTTTGCACGTGTTCACAACAGAAGCCCTCAAAAAACTATCATAGAAATGCAATCTAAGTGTGTAAATGGGATGTCAAATGCACAATTCATTAAAGGCAGGTTACTGCACCTGTGATACTGATACCAAGAGGGTACTGTGGCAGCAGTAACTAAAACCAAAACCTGGCTTAACAGTGGCATCCTGAAACCTTTACTCGCTGTTTGCACCTTTGACACTTTATACAAATAGTTCTGTAGATCGTACTGAAAAATACTGACAGAGTGCCACCATTAAAGCCACCACTTCATTTAAACTGTGATTTCTCATTCTCTTTTCACATCAAGCAGATATTCTGTTCTGGAATTAGCAGATATTTCAGAACTCCTCCTTTTGCCACAGTAGCAAAGAAATTGTCGTGGTCAGACCGTAGTGGGGAAGAGGACAGGCAGCAGCATTCGCATCTTCCTGCATCCTCTTTACAGCCTCGCTGGAACTACTGTCTGTGCAGTTCATGTTCACTAATGATAAGAGAGTTTTAGATAAATCTGTTGCTCCTGACATATCAAACCCAATATTTTATACCACAGAATTGGATGACAATTCAAATGCAGCTCTTGTCAACCTTCACTGTATTATTCCCGAATGACGAAAATCTTCAAGACAGAGCTTTCCGAGGCAGCCAGGGTTTAATGAAAGGACAGTGTAACAATAGCAAGATAGGCAATAACACTTGTAGTTTTATAGATACCTGCTCAACTTAATAACATTAACCTTTGGTAAGAAAGTTAAAAAGCCAAACAAATTTAACATTAGGAAAGGTTAGAAAAATCAATACTACACAGCAGGAAAGAAAACAATAGATTGCATCTGATGACGATAGAACTTTGGTGAATGATAGGATGAGGCACACAGAATTAGGCTTTGGCTGTTCTGTCTTATTATAGCAGTTATGGGCGGCACATTGCTGAAGGAGGAGTGTGCCAGACACACATAATAGGATTATTGAACCCTATATTTCAGACAGGCACTGAAATCAGATAGGCACTGAAATGTCAATCTGAACATGTCAGCATTTCTCCCATTTTTAAAAACATTATGCATCGCATGTTGAGTGTTTGAAGAAAGCAGTGTGTAGGTGTCTGTTCCCCCATGTCCTTATTAATCTCTTATTAAAAGAAAAGTCATGTTTGTTCTTTCTCGAATCTTTCTGAGCATGAGAAGATAATTAGGACAGAATACATAAACCACCCTAATTTGTACTCTATCTCCAAGACCCTCCTACACAAGTCATTCGAGTCTGTCTTTTTGAAGCCTGTGTCTGGCTGTGCTCACTGAGTGCACTAGTGACGTCCAGCTCAGTCTTTTAACAACTCCTGTTGCACTGAGGCTCAATTTTGAGGCATCAATCTCAACACAGCTGCACTTACGTATAGTGTTAATGGCAAACACAAGAAAACCATATATCCTTAAGTTAAAAAAGAAGGGAGACAGCTTTTAGAGCCTCACAAAACCACAGCACAGGCGATTAAAGTTTAAGGAACCTATATAAATTAAACGGTATTTCTAAACTCTCTTCTTCCCCTAGACCTCACCTGCCCAAACAGTAATGCACGCAGTCAATCCCCATACCTCACAGACCAACTCAGTAAGAGCTATAGATTCACAGAACTATTTCAGTTAGAAAGGACTTTTCAAAGTCATCTGGTCCAGCCTCTCGCTCAGAGTAGGTTAGACTTGCTCAGGTTGCTCAAGGCCCTTTCCAGACTAGGTTGAGCATCTCTCAGGATGGAAACTCCACAAATTCTCTGGGCAACCTCAGTGCTTGAACACTCTTGTGGTGAAATGTTCTTTCCCAGTGTCAAACTGGGATCTCCTGTATTGAAAAATGTTGTTATTGGTTCTTTTCCTATCCCTGCTTGCTTTAAAGAAGAGTCTGGTTCTGTCTCCAGTCTGCCTTCCCATGAGGGAGTTGAAGACAGCAATATGATCTCTCATTCACCTTTTCTTCTGAAGGCTGAAAAAGCAGTTTTCCTCAGCCTTTTCTCACACATCACGTGCTCTAGACTTCCCTAACGTACATTTCCCTTGCGTGCAACATTTCCACCTCACAGAACCTGAAGAGGTCAATTAGCAGCAAGGAGGTAGAGGGTTTCTAGTTCTCTCTTCTTTTCAATGTAAATTTTTGGGCGCAAGGAATTTCAGTCATTTTGCCCCTCTGGTACCCTCTTCCACTTTTGCCCACTCAGAGAATAACCCAAACTTCCACGTTCTTCATATGCTAGCTGCAGTCACCTGAATGTGTGGAACCCTCAAACATTTTCATACCCAAGTATGCAGATGAGTATTTACATTCTGAATTGGACTCAATGCAGTTGATACTGAAAAACAACTGTAGGAAAAACCATATATGAATCCAAGCAAAGTGCTGCTCTAGACCAGGCATCAATGAACAGAAAGGGACCACAGAGTCTGACTGCAGGTCTTGGACCAAGCCTAGCAAAGAAGATAAACATGTGGATGCATAATCAGAAAAAGTTTAACAGATGACAGACTATTCTACCATCTTGACTATAATAGGAAGGTGGTGGTATGAGA